GACCCAATCACCCCTCAATCATTACCTTTCAACCCCTCTGATTCCATCAAACCAATCACCCCCATCATATCCCCATATTCCCCAACACACGGAATAAAACCTCCAATAATTCATATATACATACACCCATCATTTTCATCTAACTAATCACTTCTTTATTTTGTTTTAATTGCTAAAACAAAAGAAAAACAAAAAGAAAAGGAAGGAAGATATTTTAGAAGGTGATTTGATTTGATTTTATCAAGAATGGAGGTGCAGTTGAAGAAAAGAGAGAATGGTAATGTTTTTGAGAGAGAAGGAAAAATGATGGAGTCATCGAGTCCAGAGGCGAAATTAGGGATGACAGTGGAGGATATTTGGGATAATCTAGAAGCTCAACTTAGTCCTACTGATAAACTTAATGCTTGTTTTGAGAGTATTCCTGTTTCTTCCTTTCCTCTTGCTCAAGCTTCCAAAGGTTTGTTGCTTTATATATATATATATATATATATATATATATATATATATATATATATATATATATATATATATATATATATATATGATTTTTGATGTTTGATTATGTTTATGAGTGCTTGATGAATTATAATTAAAACGTTGTTCGATGATAATTAATTAGATGGAATTATTTAATTTGATGATGATTGATACTACATATTATAATTTCAGTTATTTTAGGTTTAGATCATGAAAATTAATATTGTTATGAATTTTGGGTTTTATTTTGTTGATTAAATTTTGCGATTTTATATATTAATCCCCCGATCACTTTCCAACAATACATTTATTAGGGGACAAATGAAAATTTTATTTCCTCTGTTTTAAAAAAACAAATGATAATTGTATTCCGTAAAAGTTGAAATAATACAAGTATTACATAGTGTATTGAGACGATTCTAACATAAATTCACGTAACTTATGTTATAATTTTTATATATTGTGAAGAAAAATGATTATTGGCACTTAAATAATTGGAGCAAATATATATATATATAAATAACTAATCAGTCTACTTTCTCCGCTCTCTTTTAGTTGCAACATGTTTACATTTGCATTATTCACATTTTTTTTTTTTTTATTTCTTTTAGTGTGTTCTTGTCATATTTGTTTCGGTTATACTTTTGACTTATTGAGAAGTGTAAAATTCAAATCGTTGTGATGAAAAAAATAAAATAAAATGGAAGTACAATATTTGTTCCATTGTTGTTTGTTTTGTAAAAGTGATGGGTTTGGATCAAAAAGTTTTAGTTAGTCTCATCAATTTGATTAATACTTCTTTCATTCTATTAATATTGCAACAATGAACTTTTTACACTATTTATCACTCTTGTTTGATCGTATAATATGATCTATATGTTAAGCAAAATATAGTCGTGTTGAAATCTCGTTGTATTTGTCTCATAAAATGCTTTTACAGATATAGATATTTAGCATATAAAATGTGCTTTGAGATGCGTAATTTCATCGTTGTTGGAATATTACTAGAATGGAGGATGTATTATGCAGTAGTTCTGATGTTTACTGATTGAACATGCCATGATAGTACTATTTGGCCTATATGAAAGACATTCTTTACGTATTGCGCTTGGTTATTCAGAAATTTGCGATCTATTTATGTTCCAGTATGTCGAGCCAGTGTCCTAATTAATTATGTGTTATGCAGTTGAAATAAAGTCGAACTGTAGTTTGGCTGAAGCTGTTAGCATACTTTCTCAGCATAAACTTCTTAGCGCGCCTGTTGTCGATGTTGAAGCGGCAGATGATGCTACTTGGATTGAGAGATATATTGGGATTGTGGAGTTTGCCGGAATAGCTGTTTGGATACTGCATCAGCTCAGCTAACCTCGTAGGCTCTTAGCTCAATCTCTGAAACTTAAGCTGTTTTTAGAAACGATCTGCGAAAAATGGATTAGTTATTGAGCTGCAATCTCGCTACATGTTACAACTTGTTTTGATTCATTTATATCTGAATTTTGTATGCTATGTGCATTTGGTTGCTTCAAAACTGTCTAATTGTCCTTTTTTCTTGGCATTGTTCATCAGTTTAATTTTTCTTCCACACGTTCGAGTATCATGACTTGCTACCGTATACCAATGTGAGGTGAACGTCTGTAGTGTTATCCTGTAGTTTTTTTGCTTGTTGCTAAGAAATATCGGGCTTGAAAAGTCGTTTAATTTTTCATTAATTAGTTTTGATAGACACAGTTCGATTGTTTTCATCTGTTTCTATTCAACCCTCCCTTTAGAATTACTATAGTGATCTGGGAAGGGATGTTGCCTATACATGTAACCTTGCTAATTGAGAAGTTGTTATTCTAAGTTATAGTAGTTTGTATATGTTATGTCCGGTCTGCCCCTTTAGATTTACTTTAGGGGCTCCAGGAAAAGGACGCTATGTAGCCTTGTTAATTGAGTTGTTTTTCTTCTTATTTGTAAGTCAAAGTAGTTTGTCTTTGTGCTGTTGTTGAGCCCATGAGCAAACCCACATGTGAGTGAAAGTGTTGTCCCACATTGAAAGAGTGAAAAAGTGAAGAGGTATATTGGGATGTGTATTCCATATTGCTGAAAAGAGAAAGTTGTGTCCACTTTATTATAAGGCTAAAGGGCTACTCTCCTCATTCCCATATGCTTTTGAGGTAGAACCTCCTTAGTTGTATAAAGTGGACGCTTGTGGCGGATGTAGCCAAGGCCTATTTATCAAATGTGTCCATTTTCAGCAATTGTATGTAAGCTGACTGTTACTTTTGATTTTGAATTAAGAACATAGCAGAAATCAAATTTATGGGGATAAGCAGTGATTTTAAAGTGGTTGTACCTTGCTCTCCAAAAAAAAAAAAAAAAAGAAAAAAAAAGGATTGAGGTTTTACTGTGTTCTGACAATATACTACTACTAATGAATTTTGAACTCTATTGATATTCTCTTGAGGTTTATAATGCTTTTCTGGCAGTCAGAAGATGATGAGTCAAACCGAGTTTTACCATCCCCAAAGAGTAATAGCAGTGCAGCTGCAGTTAACACAAATGGAGTAAATAGGGTCAAAAAACTAGAAAGAACCATGAGCCCAAGATCTGCTGCAATGACTTCTGGAAACTTCTTTGGGGCACTTACTGCTTCGGAGCTATATAAGACAACAACGGTGAATCTTTTTAATTTTCTTTTTTATACTTCATGCAAATGTCAGTATAATTCTTGCATCAACTAACCTTTATATAAACAGGTTCGAGATATTTCAGGGTCATTTCGGTGGGCTCCATTTCTAGCCTTACAAGATACAAACTCTATGTTGACTGTCCTGCTGCTGCTCTCAAAGTACAAAATGAAAGGTGTTCCTGTTGTTGGTGGTGCAAAGGTTGAGAATATAATAACTCAGTCTGCTGTTATTCACATGCTAGCTGAGTGTGCCGGGCTTCATTGGTTTGAAAACTTTGGAACCCGAAACCTCACTGAAATTGGTCTTCCACTGATGAGTCCGAAGGAAGTAGTCAAGGTTTGTGGTTCTTTCCTGGCTATTTTTCTACATAAAGCAAAAGGCAGTGTTGTAAATTTCTTGTTAGATAAAAATCTCTGTTCTTTAGTTTGCAGTATCATTAAATGGGTGCAAGCTAAGTACAGGGTAGTATTTATTTTGAATCTCTGAAACCGTTTCTTTTGTCAAAGGCACTAATTTGGAATACTAGGCTCCAATTTTGCATGCCGTTTGTTGTGATAAATTTTGAGAAAAGTGTCTCGGCTCTCTGAAATACCAGCACACACTACACCCCCACCCCCTCAAAAAAACACATTCCTAATTTCCTAGCTTTCAAGGCATTCTTTTAATTGACTTGCTGTTTCTATCTTCTTCTAGGTCTATGAGGATGAACCGGTTCTTCAGGCCTTTAAACTGATGAGGCTAAAGGGTGTTGGAGGGATTCCTGTTGTTGAACGCGATGGGGCTAAAGCAGTTGGTAATATTAGCATAAGGGATGTTCAATTTCTTTTGACTGCTCCAGAGATATACAAGGATTGCAGGTCTGTTATTACCCTTTGTCCCCACTGCTTCATTTAAGTTGGCTGTACATGAAAATCTATTAGGAAATGTGACAAATTTAACGTGTATCCCAGAATAGTACGAGTGTAATTCTGGACTGAGGGAATATGTCTGCTGTTTTAAGATCCTATGTAGTAAGAGCAAAAAAAACATGTGGCGATCTTAGTTTAGAATTCACCTAAAATAAGGCTTAGTCATACAACTAGAGACACCAATGAATATATATGATATGTTTGCATAAACTCGTGTTTGGCACATAAGATTATCATAAATCGAACATTTTCTTCTTAAATTTTAATGTCATAATAATTATTGTTGCAGATCAATCACAGCTAAGGACTTCTTACTTGCTTCAAAGAAATACAGAGAAGAGCACCATGAAGGATCATCACCTCCACTAAGTGGGATGATTACATGCAAAAAGGATGACACTCTCAAGAAAGTTATCCTCACCCTTGACTCTCTAAACATCCATCGTATCTACGTGGTTGATGAAGGCGGATGTCTTGAAGGTGTCATTACGCTAAGGGACATAATCTCGAGGCTTGTACATGAGCCTCGCAACTACTTTGGTGATTTCTTTGATGGAGTGATACCAATGCCAGCTAACAGTAGAGTATGAGTGACCAACCTCTTAACATGCATGTTTTCTCGATCAGATTCTGAACTCAGATCATCATCAGCTAACGGGATAGAATGATATATATGAATGACAATAATGTAAGTGGTGGTACCAGAAATGATAAATCTAGGTCTCTGGAAAGTGGCCATTGTATTTAGCTAAGCTAAGGGTTCATATCATTGGCACCCCTGTTGTATTATATGCGTAATAATAGATGGATGCTACCTAACTGATCCATGATATGAGCATTCTTGTATGCCTTTTCTTTTGTAAGTTATGGTGGAGTTTTTTTTGTTTTTTTTTTTTTTTTTTTTTTTTGACAAAGAGCAACACAAAAAACAAACAAAAAACTAGAAAGAAAGAAAAAGAGAATGACGATTTCTAGCTGAAACAGCTAACTCATGAGCAGGCCTAATAAAATCCCTGGAAGCTTTCTGGATAGAACAGGCCGAGAAGAGAGGTATGATATCCTCAATCTGCTGAAAGATCCAACTAGCAAAGATGTCCTTTGAGCAATGATCCCGGAGACTAAAGAGGACACCCAAACAGTCTGTATGAATTCGAATCTGATCAAAACCGTGATTTTGCGCCATCCTCAAAGCTAGGAGACAGGCAAACAACTCTGCTTGAATAGCCGAAAGAGCAAAACATGCCTGAGCACCACCCCCAAGACACTGGAGAGATCCAGCCTGATAAAAGCACCAACCCGTACCAGCTCTGCAATCTGCAGACTGCCAAGCCCCGTCAAAGAGTAGATCAACAACAGCCTGTTCAGAAAAAGAACCTCGTAGAATAATCAAAAGTGGGCGATGATGAAACCCAGGAGGAGAAGAAATAACCCCAGCATCCAAATCTCTAGCCGAGGAACTTCGAGACCTCCATTCTTGGGCAATCCTGAATACACAAAGGGGATCAGGAACTAATCCCCAAAATCGAACACTGTTCCTACAGCACCAAATAGCCCAAGTAAAGGCCAAAATAGAATCCAGAGTACTCCAATCTCCATGAGCCAAAGAGTGAGTAATCAGAGTGGAAAACCAATGGCTAAACGAGGAGAAATTCTCCGGAGGAAGAAGAATACCCAAAGGACCACAACTCCAAAGACGACGAGTAAACGGACAGTGTAAAAATAAATGATCTATCGTCTCCTGAGAAGTATGACAAAAAGCACACAAAGGATCAACAGGGATACCTTTGGTACATAATAAGGCTGCCACAGGGATGACTCCATATAACAACTTCCAAACAAACATCTTCCACTTAGGTAAAATGGGAAAGGCCCAGAACTTCTTCCACCACGAGGACAGAATATAATTCCCATCATAAATTACGGGGAACGAACCCTGAATGAGAGCAGCATAGGCGGACTTAGTAGAGAAATTCCCATCCCTAGTAAATTTCCAATAGACGAAATCATCCATTAACTGAGTCGGCCGCTCCAAACTCAGAATTTTAGCCGCAGTGAAGGAATCAAACAATCTATGAACCTGAGAAGAATCCCAAGTGTTAGAGTTTGAATGGATAAGAGAGGACACCAGAAGCGGAAGAACCGTTCCAGCAAGAGAATCCTTAGGGGACACAACAGAATCCGGAACCCAAGAATCCTCAAAAATTCGAACCTTGGTACCATTACCAATTTTCCAAGTAAGACCAGACTGAAGAGAGTGGAACCCATGCAGCAAACTATTACCCGCCCAAGAAGGACGAGAGAGCCTCGAACTAGAATGACGATCCAGGATAGAAGGATACCGCGCTTGAAAAATACGAGAAATAAGAAGTTGAGGATTATGCATGACCCGCCAAACCTGCTTTGCCAACATCGCAGAGTTGAAAATACCCAGATGACGAAGACCAAGACCCCCAAGCCCCTTAGGCCTATAAAGGAGAGAAGAGGGAGCCAAAGCAATACCTTTAGAGTGGGAAGAAGATCTCCACCAAAATCGAAGTAGAAGATTGTTGATTTTGTCTATGACTGTAGAAGGAATCTTAAACACAGACAAAATATGGTTGAAGGAGGCCACAAGCATAGAATTGATAATGACCAATTTCGCAACAGACGAAAGATGAAGGGAAGTGAGTCCACTCAACCGATTAATAACTTTGTCCACTAAAGGCTGAAAAGCTTTACATTTGTGTCTGCCAACATCAACCAGAAGACCCAAATAAGAGCCAATAGAGGATTCCACCCGCACATGTATAGAAGCAGCTAAGTAATCCCGATAATCAGCCGGAACGTTAGAACTAAAGCGAATGAAGGACTTTTAAAGATTGATCATATGACCAGAAATATCACAAAAATTGTGAAGCACTTTATTAACCTCTAAACAGGTATCAGGCGAAGGCTGAAAAAAGATAAGGGCATCATCCGCAAAAAACAAATGTGAGACCGAAGGAGAGCGCCTGCAGACCTTAATACCTCGAAACAAACGATCAGATTCTGCTTTACGAATCATGGCTGAAAAAACCTCCATACACAGAACAAATAAATATGAAGATAAAGGATCACCCTGACGCAACCCCCTAACTGGACGAAAAGCTTTCGTAGGATTACCATTGACCAAAACCTGATAAGAAACAGTAGAAACACACTGCTGAATTATATGAATCCAACTCGGAGGAAACCCAAAGGCCTTAAGAACTTGCCATAGAAAATCCCAACTGATCCTATCATAGGCTTTATTCATATCGACTTTCAGAGCCGCTCCCATAGTACGACCTCGCAACTTATCCATATAGGAGAGAATTTCATGCGCAACAAGACTATTGTCAACTTGCCATAGCCGACCTGGAACAAAGGCATTTTGAAAATCGGAGACTAGCTGAGGGAGAATATTCCGAAGCCGAATCGAAATACACTTAGCGATACATTTATAAAGAACATTGCAGAGACCAATTGGACGAAACTGAGAAACGAACTCCAAATGATCCACCTTAGAAATAAGAGTGATGAAGGTCCTATTCCATTCTCTAAGCATATGGCCATGATAGAAAAAATATTGCACTGCTTCAATAACTGATTGACCCACAGTAGACCAATGCGAGCGAAAGAAAGCAGAAGAAAAACCATCTGGACCCGGAGTCTTCGACTCATCAATCTAAAACATAGAAGCTTTGATTTCTTCTGCCGAAACAGGCTGCAATAGATGAAAACAGTCCATATCTGAAATTTGAGGTAAGTTTAAATCATTCCAATCAAAATCCGAAGGAAAAACTTGAGACTGAGGGGAACAGAATAGCTGAGAATTATAATTTTGGATCATTATACTAATACCCTGTTGATCATGAGTCCAAAACCCACTTGAATCCTTGAGACCATGAATCAAATTCTTTCTTTTTTCGAGCCTGAGCATAAGAAAAAAGTAAGTGAGAATGAGATTCACCAAACTTATCCCATTTGACCTTCGCCCTTTGTTTCCAATAAAGGTAAGCGGCATGGGATTGAGCAATTTTTTCCTCCCGGATAGAGATGAAGAGGTGACGATGGAGTCTTGAATCCAAATTCTGTGCCAAAGGATCCAAAGAAGCATGAAGTTCTTTCCAATTAATACCCCATGATTTTTTATTATTAACACACCACGAAAGTAATTTCGACCGAACTTGTTCCAACTTCCTCGAGACAACAAACATCGGAGAACCTGGAAGCATCATAGCCCAGATAACAGTAATAATCCTAAAGACATCCTTCGACTGTAAACACCAATTATCAATGCGGTATGGACGTTTAGAAACAGGAGGGGAGTTTTCATGATAAACAATAACCGCATGATCTGAGAAAAGGATGGATTGATGGAGCAAAAAGGCATTCGGATGATCAATCATCCATTTTTGAGAAGCATAGGCTTTATCCAAACGCTCAAACGATGCATCCCCAGAAGAACAACCATTAGTCCAATTATAGGAAGGACCGGAAAAGGGAACATCTAAAAGATTATTTTCTATTTTCCATTCCTGAAAAGCATTTAACCCGGCTATATGTGCAGAACCCCCTACCTTATCTGAAAAATATTCTACCTGATTAAAGTCAGCAATAAGTAGAATATCTGAATAAACTTGCAAAATGTGAGAAATCTCCTCCCAAACAGCAGCTCGTCCCGAAGGATGAGGTGATCCATACACAAACAGGATATGCTTTATTTCACTAGTAGTTGGAGTACAAATTTCACACAAAATTACATTAGTAGAAACCAAAAGAGGAACTACTCTAAGCGGAGAAAACCAAAATACAACCAAACCTCCGCTGAGACCCTGGGAATTAACACCACAAAAACCATCAAACCTCAAAGGGGCTAACTTTGTAACAGTAGTATCTACATCAACTAACGATTCCATAATAAACATAATATTTATAGAGAGAGAGCGGACAAGAGACAGCAAATACGGAACTTTAGGGGAGTCCGCCGAACCTAATCCCCTACAATTCCATGCTCCAACATTCACGACCCTTTAGGTGACCTTTGAGGAGGAGCCACCGATTCCTGATCAGATTGAGCTGGAGAAGAGGTAACCGAAACTGATTTCCCATGAATTCCCTTTCGTCTTTTAAGAGAAGTGAAACAGCACAAAGTTTGTTTTTAGTTGTTAAAACATAATTTCACTGTTGTATTATTATCACCAATAAAACTAATTTTTTTTTTTTTTTAGGAAAATCACCAATATAACTAATCGTATCGAGTTAATTCATAATAACTTCTTACTCCTCCCGTCCCCGATTGATAGTCACTTTTGAAGAAAAATTACGGGAATTAAGGAGAATTAAAGAAAGTACATTGAAAAAATAAATTTACATTGGTGTGCAAAAGAGTAGAGAGAGAAAGTAATTAAAGTACATGGGAAAGTAAAATTTACATGGGTAAATTAAATTTGCATAAATATTTTTGCAAATGTTAGAGAATTTTGGTAAAAAAATAATATTTATGATACTAGAAAAAAGCAAATGTGAGTAACATTTTGAGTCGATTCCGGCTTCATGCACGCGAGTTGCAGCCTGCAATCCGAACTGAGGACGGGTTTTTGGGGTTAGCTCACCAAAAATGGAAAAAGTGACTATCAATCGGGGAAGGAGGGAGTATTAATAAGTGAGTAGCTAAGCATCGGGAAAATGCTAGTCAATAACTCTAAACCACTACAGAAGTACATGCTTTCCCTCATGACTTAAATGCTATATTATAAACAAAGTTTGTATATCAATCTTATTAGTTGAGGTTGGCTCCTAAGCTATCACCAAATTTTGACAATTGCTAGTAAATTAGAGTTTGTATATATATATATATATATATATATATAGGTGCACGGTATACCTTTCACGGTATACCCAACTAACTCAAGGTTAGTTTTTGCTCTTCATTTGTTGATTAAATGAAAAACAATTATCAATATGAGAACAAAATACTTATAAATGTATGGTACGCCTGGGTGTATAAAGAAAGCGATAATGATTTAATTTATTTGTACCATGGATTTTACTTGAAATTCTGATTTGGACCAAATGATCTGCTTGATTATGTAAGAATTTGGATTTGCATTTAGGCTGAATCAAAGCATTCACATAATTAAAATCCAATTTAATAAATTACAATCTCAAATGATATCATTTCATATTCTCACATGAAGTAAAAAAAAATAATAAAAAAAACCCAATTTCTCTTTCTTAGAGCTCTGTTTCCCATTCCCTGATTTTTTTCTTCGTCCTCCATTGAAGTAGCTTGTGAGCTCTCTCCTAAGGCTAAGTTTGGGATCTTTCTCTCAGCTCCTATATGGTAGCATACTCTAAAACCTCCATTAAAGCGACTTCTGAGCTTTTTCTCCTCCATCGAATTTTACTCTAGATTTTCCATTGAAACAGCGTGTGAGCTTTTTCTCCTCCAAATATCAACTTCTACGTTATATATTCTTTTGTTTTTGAATGTCAATTTGCCGACTACCAACCACAATGACCTCTAACACTTGCCGACTTCACCTTCATAACCTTCTTCATTTCTACAATCCACCCCTACAAGAATGGTATGTTCATCATTTCAATGGCAACATCAGGCGCTTGGTTGAAAATTTAGGTTGATTAATGCCGATTCCTCACATGTTTGGATCAACAATTTAGAAAATTTGGATGAACATACGAGAAGGAGAGAGATTGAGGGAGAGAAGTAATGTAAGAGAAAAGCGAGGAAAAGAGAATGGTCTGGAGAAGTGGAGATATACATGGAATATAAATTTAAAATGATCAATTTGAAATTCTTAGATTTTTTTCCAGATAGAAAATTTGAAAGTGAATGTGGATATTTCAAATTCCATACTATTTAAAATGAAATGCTTAAATCCAAACAATACATAAAATTATTAGCTTGAAATCTTCATGCTTGGGGGTTGTTAGGCTATTGGAAGTCATCTTCATTTGCCTTTGAATATACAACTTTTAAAAAATTATTAAAAAAATGGCTATATCAAGGTTACAAGTAAAATTGTGACTTTTTAAAATGAATGACTAGTTCACAATAGAAAAATGAGAGAAATTGGTATGTAATATAGATATATAGTGGAAAGACTTGTCATGAACATGAGATATGACCTTGATGTACAAAATGATATGGCCTACTCATTCACTCCATAGGATAACATCATTGCTATAGAAGTCAAAAGTTGACTAGACCCAAATCGAACTTGTTCATTACCTATCATGTTTGAACTCGAGATAATAGTTTTGGGTTTTATGATGGTGAGCACCGTGCAGAACCAAAACCCGCCCAAACCGCATGCATCATTAATGCAGCTAAACAAACAAACATGCAATTAACAAAGTGATAAACACATAAAGAGGGAGAGAAAGAAAGAAGGGAGAATACATTCTTACCCTCGTAGCGTGCTTCACACGAGCCCAAGCACGACCCCTGAAAAGCTCAAGACATGCACTCGCGAATCCTCCTACTTTGCATACCCACACGCTCGAACCTGACTTCTATCTCGTAGCTTAACCGAGCCAAAATTAGAGTTTTACGAATTTAAAGGTTTTCTCACGCTTTTGGGCGATGCCTTATTAAGTTCTACTCAAATTGTGTAAATTTCCAACACCCAAGGTTGGTATTTAGAGGCAAAACATTGCCAAAAACCTCAATCATCTTTCCAAGTGGGAAAAATGGTAAAATGAGAAAATAAGCAATTAATTTAATTCTACCATAAACAATAAGTCAATGACAAGTGTCAATCCAAGGGAGGGGTTAGGTAAGGATCACAAGCCCTCCTCTTAGAGAGCAAGAAAGCCTCCCAAAACCGGTCATACATGTGCATGGCATGCCCCAGCCATGGGCCTCAAGGCCTGCCGCGTTAGCAGCCTTGGCCTACACCTGAGCCTGCCCTCCCAAGCCCAGCATGCTGCTGGGTTTGTCGTGCTGCGAACTGGCCTCACTATTTGGCAGCGCACGCAAGCATGCTGGCTTGGACACTTGTTGTGTGCTTGCGGGCTGGCGCTGCTAGCTAGCTTGCTCGGCTAACTCGCCCAGCCTGCACACATGTGTGGATGCTAGGCTTGCGGCCGAGGTAACCACATGGCTAGTAGCCTTGCTAGCCTAGCATGCCTAGCTAGGCCAACGCGAGGCTAGGACTTTGTGCATTAACTTGTCATTTGACTTATTTTCTCATCTTCCCAATTCATTGAAACGACTTGGTGTTCAACGCTTGGCTTTGACACTCTAAGATCGGAATCCGACGTCTGAGTTTGTATAATCCTTATCGACTAATCCATCAGATTAATTCATCCCTTTTGTTGGGTTACACGATTGGGTTTGACCCGTAGGGTCCAGTCAAGAGCAAGCTGTAAGATTAATTATATATTAATCTTACGGATCGAAAGCGGCCTCCAACTAGGCATTCCGATCATTTAATTTCACTGAACAATAAACTTTCCAAATTAATTTCGAACCCTCTATATCGGAATAATACACTTGTTCGAAGGACACCATTCCTTTCAAATGGTGACTTGATCTCAATATGACCTAAAACTAGCCCAATTTCTTAGGATTCTTGACCCGAACATGAGTCGACCCAAATAAAACTCATAAATTATTGACCTAAATGAAACTTGTTTGAAACCCGAGAATGACGCCAAACCAGAATTCAACTCTCCTTATTACTGACCCGATTTAAATTCAACTCAACTTACTACATATCACAAGAGCAAAATTGATTACAAGAGCACCATACAATTTGTAGTCCCAAAGTATAAAGTCTATAACACTTTATCTACTATTTTATCATGCATGAGTCAAGTTAAGAGTCAAAGAAATTAATAAATTAAAATGTAAACAGAAAATAGTTTTATTTAGACACAAAAGGAATATGAGTATGTATGAGAATTGAAATTTGTAGAAAGAAGGAAAAAAAAAGTTAAGTAGGGTAATGGCCTAATGGGATGGGAAAAATAAATTTAATCTAAAGGGATATTTTTTATTTTAAAAAAATAACAAAAACAAATTGTGCAGTTATAAAAAGTAATTGAATAAGACAAATGTGTTGCACTTATTTAGAAGCAAAAATACATAAATAAGGGTTAAACTTGAAGAACTACTAATTCCTCCCTTTTCACAATATCTCAGCAGGAGTTATCCCCTACAACTAGCCCCTCAAGAGATGGCGTGAGGCTCTTTTCATGCCAGTTGTTCTGAGCGTGTGGCCTTATCAGCCTTAACTCAACGGGTCGTCTGACTGAAATAACCTGCACACCCCTAGCCCCTCAAGTCTCTAGGGTGTTGATGCGCCCTGGAGGCTTGGGAGGTCAGGTAATGCTGTTGATGAGTCTGCTGCCCTATCGCGTGCATGGTGACCTTTGCTCTAGCCTTGAGAAGTGAAGAGCTCGCAGAGAGGAATTTTGATCACTCCCGTCGAAGTCTTAGAAATGACGAGGTTGCAAAGAGGAATTTTGATCGTTCCCGCCGAAGTCTGAGAAATGACGAGCTTGCAGAGAGGATTTTCTATCACTTCCGCTGAAGTCTGAGAAATGACGAGCTTGCAGAGAGGATTTTTGATCACTCCCGCTGAAGTCTGAGAAATGACGAGCTTGCAGAGAGGATTTTCGATCACTCCCGCTGAAGTGCTATCTTCTTAGATGGGTTTAAGGAATTTTTTTTTTTTGGGGCGGGGATCACATTTGCATGAATGGGATACATGTTGGCAATCCGGGCTGTCAGTTTGATTTTACTAAAGTGACATGGCGGTTTGGCTTTTCCTTTAGTCTAACTGCCCATTTACTCCGTATTAATTTCACTGTCCCCCTCTTTAATTTATTTCTTTTCACGCCTCCAATTTTTCATCTTCCCTCTTTATTATTTCGGCATTTCAAAATT